GTATATGTTCTATGATAAAATTCATAACAAAACTTTTGAAAGGTAATTAAGTGATCAACAAAACAAAAAAAAGATCATCGGAATCGAACCAGTATTAGCAATGGTACAGCTTATTCTATTTCCTACACATGTTTTAATTTATTACTTTCCTATACGTTTCAGAGCCCCTTGAGTTGCTACTTGTAACATAAATTATTATATTTTAATAATAATAATAATCAATATTGTCTGACAAAATTGGGCTGAGGTAAAACAGTTTTTTGATTAGCAATATTAAAGTGTATTGAATTTTTTATACTGATCTTCCTGAAGCCGGTTTACATTGGTTTAGTTTATCAAATAAATTGTACTCAAATCTTTCCTTAGATCAATTATCTGGAAAACAAATCTAATTCAATTTCTTTTTTTTATTATATATTTTTTTTTTTTTTAAACTTAAATGAAATAGGTAGGAAAATCGTGTGAGTAGACATACCAGATTTTATTTTATTTTTATATTTTCCATAAAAATTTACAATTTTTTTTTAGTATCAAATTATTTTAAAATAAAACGCACTAGATAAGCCTGATATAAAGCGAGATGCATTAGCTAAATCATGGCAGATTAATAGAAACCTGCTAAGTAGATAAGAGGAGATAAATACATTATTAGAGGGTTATCAAAGACTAGCGTGTAAAGAGGAGTAGACCGCTCCTTTCCGCTTCCCGCCCCCCCCCCCACCCTCATTAATTTAGTAAACTTTTACTGTAAAATATTTTATCAAGGACTCCTAAACTTTGTCTCTACGCTAAACTAAACCTTTACTCTCAACTCAACTAAAATTTCTTACAGTTTTTAACACAATTTCTACTGTAACGAACAAGCACGGGATTGAAAATCTTTCCATTATTATTAAAATAATTCATCAACTGATATAGGGCTCGAGCAGAAACGAGGTCTTTATTTACCACTTCGAATCAATGTTTATGATTTGTTAGTTGCGCAACTCACATGTCACTCGAACACTTTTGTAACTTTCGGGGTCTTGACCCAATTATCGGACTATATCGCTTCCGCAATATAACTACGAAATGAAATTTTCTATTGCAGTATATGAATATTGATTAATTAATAAACTTTTTTTTATATAAATAAAATTATCATCATCGTATAATTTACCTTAACGTTATAATTTTCTTTTTCGATATAATATCCATATTTTTTATACAACCGCATATATATTTCGGCACAAATTAATGTTCTAAAAACAATAATGATCTAAGGAATATTTAGCTACTAGCCTAACTCTTAGTCACAACTAATATTATACAAGATACAATTTTTCCTTAGCAATAAAGTCGAATATCCTTGTTCTATTTACCGTCTACATATGTAACTCATATTACACATTTACGTTCTGGGTAGCTTTTTCACTTTTTGCCTACTGTTTTATATAAAAAAAAAAGTTGTTTTTTTAATATATTTTAAAATATGTGCGTATAAACTTTATTGACCAAATCAAATATGTTTATGAGATATGAGTAATTATGTTTAAAATTATTCTCTTTTTGAAAATGGTAAGTATATAAAAACTTTCCTTTCATTTTTCTTCTTTCTATTTAGTTTATTATAGTTTATAATAACTTCTTATTTTTCGTATATATGGTATTATTTAGATTTTAGTTTATTTATTATTTTTATATTATATAGTATATATTTTATATTATTTATTTTACATTTTCTGTTACGTTAAGTAATTACGTACTCACATACCCCTGTAATGAATCTCGTCATTTACTACAATCTGATTAAAACAAATCAGTGACATTTAAGTTTTTCTCTCAAGCCTTTCAATACATTTTTGTTGAGTGCTGGTTAGTGCCCAGGTCCCCAGCCGTGTTCACAGAAATGGCATTATATTAAATTGCAATTGACACACCCTTAATCTGAGATTTCAGGAGATTTTTCAAGATTTTAGTACCTTAATAGGAAAAGAAAACAAATCTCTATTTGCACTTGTCTTCTGCTTGTTATTTTGATTGTGGAGAAACGGAGGGAAGTATTTGGATCAATATACCGTAAGAAAAAAAATTCTTTCTACGCAGATCTTTATATCGGCTTACTGTAGTTGGAGTACATAACATGGAATATGCGCTAATTACTTAAATCAGTAAATAACAAAGGTTCCCCCCCCCCAGAAAAAAAACAATTACAAAGCTCATATCCGTTTCCAGGAGTTTTTCCACATTGTAAAGAAAAAAAATCGGTAGATCTAAGTCTCTCTTAAATATGTTATTTTCAACGAACATTGTATAATTTTTTTCATAAAGAAAAGAACAGAAACGCAACAATTACTTAAAATCACTTTATATTTATTCAAGTTAAAATGGATTGGAGTATGACGTATTTTTGCTACAAGCTCTTTGAGATCCTTAAAGATATGAAATTGTGTATAGGTATGTATGTGTTATTTTTATGTTATTTTATTCTTATTTATTGTATATATATTATTTTTCTGCATAATTTATTGTATATAGAGAGTGAATGTGATCTCTGAATACTATTATAAATGTCCTTTGAGACAGATTGTAATATATTTCAATAAAAAATATATATATATGAAATAATCTATACATATCTCTACATAAATTCCTGGTATGATTTAAAACAGTTCATTGCTTTAAAAAGACATTGGAAATGTTTTGTTTTTCGTATTACAACTGATATTTTATGTTTTCTGTATATTTGGAGGGAATATGTTCTTATCCCACTGTAGTTATTGTCCGTGTGTTTATAATTCTGAATAAATAAATAATAAATATAACTGATACAGACACACGTACTTGAGGAAGTGATAATTATAATATTGAAGTTAATGTTTGATTTATACACACAGAACCAAACCTGGGTATAGCAGCAGAACGTAAAAGGATATACAGCTGAATTCACTCATCGGTTATCATGAAAGACCCGGATCTTATCTGGAAATGAAGCCATGTCCGCCCATGCGCAGTGGAGGTACAAAAAAGTGGCTTTCAACTAAACGGTATTGAAAATAAAAATCAACTGGCGACGAATCCGCAACTGTTGGAAGGAATGCGGGCAGTCAGCGCATCAAGATAAACCTTCACTGTACCAGTTCTCAAACCTCACAAGCATTCTAGAAACTAAATGAAAGCAGAGCGTTCATGGACATCTTTACACAGGATCCAACAGTAATGGTCTGTAGGTGTTTGAACAGAAATAAATAATAACAATAAGTATGTAGAATTAAGTTTACAAGGAACTAGCTGTTTCTTATTTTCTTATTTAAAAAATAAAATAAAAAATTAGGGGGAAAAAGTGAGTTATATTTTTATTATAAAGGACAAAACATTGATTAAAATATAATATGTACCAAAGATTATTGAATGAGTATTTTTTTTCTGAATATGGTTGACTTTTTGGATGGATATGAGCCTAATTCAACGAAAACTATATGCACATATATACTTATGATATATGGGAATAGACTTGGTTTGCCGATCACGGACTAGATAAACAAGACAATGAAGAAGACAAATAGTACAGGTGTTTCGATATGGACATGAAAACAATATGTGTCAAACTCAGCCTCATTTCGAAACCTTGCAAACTGCTCCTCTCTGATCAATACTCCAGTCCTACAGACCATGGTGGCACTCTCGGGGGGAAATACTCCAAACTTCGCACCAACCTTTCTCTTCGCTAATGAGGGGCAGGTAGGTAGCAAACAACGGATATATAACACAATATACTAACACACGCTGTATTTATTTTTTATCTATAAGCTTCAACCAGCTCGACGAAAAAGAAAAAAACATATATTTAATGGTAAAGATCCTGATTGTTACCTCATCCAATCGTATACGTTCATTGGATGAAAACCAAAACAAAATAAAGTTTTAGTTTGGAATATAAAGTTTTTATTTAAGAAAAAAATTATAACCCGACAAAATGGTATGTATTTATATGGCAATCACTTTTTTTAATAGTTCCGATATGGAGGCACGTGTCCAAATCTGTAAATTGTTTTAAGAAATCTGGTACAAAATTAAGATATTTCAAGAGTGCAATAAAAATATAAGTATATTACTTTAAAGTGGCATACACTGTTGCTAATAGACTAGATGCAAACTTAAGAGAGTTGATTATCAAGCTAATACAAAACATTATAGCAAAATAAGTACCAACATATTCAAAGGGACAAACTCAATAACCAATATTTTAAGAAATGAGCTAATGTTCAAAAAAATCTTATACTCAAGATATCAATTGAAGAATTTTATATTGTTTGTAACTTAATAAAATATAGGATATCCTCAATCGTCTCCAACTTGGTAAAAATATATAAACGTAGTTTATTTATACAAATTTTTAAACCGACATTATGCTTCCTCAGTACTGAATGTAGGGAAGCTTTTTATTTACGCAAAAAATAACAGGCATTTTTAAATTTGTTGAATAATAATACAATCTGCAAATAATAATCGGCAAAACTAAAGACGAATTTGAATTGAATATAATAATAAAGAGGCGTCAAAGTTTTACATACTAAGTAACAAGTCGTCGAGAGTTGACAAAATGCCGACAGAAATTTTGAATAATAGTTCTACTAATTTAAAACATGTTCAAATAGAATTTAATGTCTTAAGGCTTTAAAAAATGACGGTGCTTAATTAGCTAAGCTGGACTAGTTTTTAAAAGAATCCATTAAGTTGTAAATTGAATTGTTGTGAGAAAACTTGCTATGTAAGGCCATATTATATATAATTATTATTAAAAAAAAAAAAAAAAAGACCGTCCAGTAGGATTTTTTTTTTACTACCAATAGTTCTATTAACAAAAAATTTAAATATGGATAAACCAACAACGAAATAAAAATCCAGAAGAAACAGAACAACACGTTTTAGAATAAACTCCAAGCATATAAATGAATCACAGTTGAAAATGATAAGAAAATTATTATTTAAATAAATAAAAAAAAATGTAAATCACTTACATTTCCTTGATTGTACACACGAAGCGCCTCGATACCTGCATAAAAAATATAACGTTTAGTTCAAAAATTGATACTGTCTCAGTTTCAAGTACATATAATTAATCAACAGTCTAAATGTAAATAATAAATGGGCATTGCAAGCAAATAAAAAGTAAGTTTCAAATCAATAACTTGCAACGTAACAAATAAATCTCTTCCCCCTTATCATAATTAGAAATATGATTTATATCTTTTTTAATGATTTTAATTCAATTTCCACAACTGAATAATTATGGAATGTATGTAGTAACTTAAATAGAATAATTTTTGAGACAAAACAGAAAGTATTCTTTCAAATAATATTAATAAATAAATAACAGTTTTTTTTTTAATATTTGGAATTTACTGAAGCCATTAATTTTTACTTGAGTTAATTAAAAGGAGGTTTAGATTGGTTTCCATCTGTTAAACGCCGCTCATTGATCTATACTTTTTTTTTTATTGTTTAAAATATACCCTACATTAGTCGACATTGAATTATTATATATATTTTGATTAATCAATTATTATTTTAAGAATTATTTTCGATTATTTCAAATCATTGATATTAAATATGATCCACCAAGACATACGGATAACATTTTGTTTATAATGTTTGCTATGTGCCCGGTAAATAGTATATAAAAACGGTTTGATATAACATACTTCAGTGGAGAATGGTGTGTAATGCGGTAAGGTATAACTGCTGCCCCTTTCTGCATCGTGATAGTTCTTACCAAACAAGTTCATTGAAGTTTTATAGAACAGCCCCACACTGTTACCCCTATAAGCTACGATGTTACGTTACATTGGTAAAGCCGTATTATTACTGTCGACCAACAGTTAAAAGAAGAAGATGCCTTGGTAAGCATCACGCCCAATTGCCAGATTTACCCCCTGACCCAATAAAAGCCGAATCACCCTCTTTATAGATGTTTGGTTTCCTTCGGATGGACTCCCGATCCCTGTATGGATGGATGACTAATACATCACAATACATTGGAGTAAATAAAACCCCCGAAGAAAAATTCAAGCTGCGGAGAAAAATTCAGATCAAAGGAAACAAAGATGAATCAATAAAAAAGGGGAGTTAGTAAATATCTGAATTGTCATGCTATGATAACATACCGTTGATAAATGAGAATTCGTAATTTTAAATACTTACTCAGCTCTTACTTATTTGTAAGTTTATTTAATATTATAATTGGGACACTATAAAAGAAATACCTCATTAAGGGGTCATCTGGATTATTTACACGAATGATAGAAATAAATACGTTTTTTTGCCAAAGGCGTTCGCAAAATGAGGCCGTGATGGACAAGAGCTTCAAGGCGTCTTCACTTAAGCAGCCCCGAGGGCCGGTCCGAATCCAGCATGGCCGGATTAAAAATCGATTTCGAGGCGGAAATACAAAATAAATCTCGATCGTTCCCATTCTGGTTAATAGATAATTTCTCCAGAGGATAACCAAGTCCTCCATCAAATAACTACTGGATTATTACGAAGGTGATTGAATGTGAATGTAATTTGCGAATACTCGATGGTTGACCGAGGAATATTATTAAGTAAGGAGATGGTCAGGGATAACAGGGCATAAAAAGTATGCATCATATAGCTTTAGTTGAATAACGGTTTCAACTGAAACTCCATGCTGCATTCATTCCCCTGAAGAACAGCAAAGTCGGGTCGAACGTCGGCTTTAAATAAAAGTTTTTTTTACAATTTAGTATTTTTATGACCGATACCCCGGGATCATCTCCTTACTCAAGAATTATAATAAGCACATGAATAACAAATAATATACTACTTATGTTTGATATATTGATTTATTATGTTAATATATAGTTAGGGTGTGGTAAGAAATAACACAATAACGTAATACACCAAAGGTGACGTCCGGCCTCCGAATGCGGCTTTTATAAAAGTTATTTTATTTGTATTGTTTTTTTCCATACCATCTTATGTTATCCTACAACATGAATTCTTTTTTTACTTCATTCTTGTATCTCCTTTTCTTAGGCCGCGACCTCTAAATACTTCTGACCCTCACGGCCACCACTTCGTTGCCTTCAGCTAGGAACTACATCTCTATTATTAATATTTATAACATTAATAGTAAATGTTGCATCGGCAATATGTGTGAAATTATTATTCCACTTTTTCATACAGAAATAAGTAAAATTGCTATTTCCTGATAATACGAAAAGATGAAAGAAGCTATACAATAAAAAGAAGACACCATACGCCGATATTATTGGGTTTCCTAAGGCCGCTTTTTTTCTTCTTTTTTTTTTTTTATTGTGAAGAGGGATCTAATTGGACGGATGAGAAGGAGGCAAACACGAACGACAGAGGTCCAATTGGCTGGCGGTTCGGCTAACAAACCCCTCCATTAAACATTCAGGAGGCGGCTCCGTGCCATAACTGTCGTAACCGTCATTTCAATTACCGACTTTTTATTTGGAATTTTCTTAGGTAATCACCATTTCAATATGTTTTTAATAAGAAAGGTTAACTTTGAGTTGATTTTTCTGCAACGTTCACACACAATCATCTCACCTTAAAGATGTCTTCAGTTGTCACTTTACCCATTAATTGAAATAATTAGAAGTAAATACCATTACTAGAAATGTGGATGAGCAAGGTTATCTGGGTAGGACCATGTCTTTATTATTTATACCAATTAATACCAATTACTTTATGAGGGCTGGATGAGCCTCAAGAAGTGCACCCGACTTGCTACGAATAAACAGGGTGTTTCAGGGCTGAGAATGCAAAAATGAACTAAGGACCTCAAAAAAGAAAAAAATTCCTCTGAAGAAATGTCCGCAAACGTTATGTTTAGGAGATATTCACACCTAAAGATTTTCGTTATTATGAATTATTTACGTTATATGAAATAAATAAAACCTATCTCTTTGTTCTAACTATTTTATTAATTAAATGTAAACTTTAACATTTATATTAAATGTTGTTCAAAGTGATTTCCTTGAGCATTAAGAGAGGCTAGGCCTCTTTCAGCGACAGTGGCAGAACGGCACTGGATATGTGTTATTGTTTCACAAGATTCAATTATCCTTCTTCGTAAAGAATTAAGGTCATTGATCGGATTTGCTCAATCATATCCCATATCCCAATGGATTGGCCGTGCAGGACTAGTGGCTTGGTCTGCACGCTCTCCAGACCTGACTGACTGATTTTTTTGGTTAGAGGTGACATTAAACAAAAAGTCTATACCACCGTAACTAGCCTTTTCCATAATTGCCTAACATGGTCTTTTTTTCATCCAGTTTCCTTAGTGCATTTTTATTTATACGATCTATCCATCTGGTGGTTATGGACCTTCCACGTGGTCTCTTGAATACAACTGAAGCATTAATGGCTGAGTAGAAGATGAGAGATGGATTGCTCGGAGCTAACCCCTTTGCCTTCATATCATGAGATATTGATTGACCAGTTTCAGTCAGTAGTTCTTCTTCATTTGTCCTCCTTCATGCGTTAGTACTCTGATCCTAAACCGCTCCGGTTACCGTGTGGAGAATTTTATATATTTGGTATATACATTTCCTAACAGAATTTTCTACCACAACAAGGCTGCATACAGGACCCAAGAGAATTGTGTCTTACTTACTGGTCTCTTTTCTTTTTTAAAAATAAAAACACTTGAGAATTCAGAATCTGTATTACAGTAGTTTTTAACTGTTCCATTGTTCGTTTTTTTCCTATAAATATTTAAATAAAAGTATTGCAAGAATGAAAATATTATTATATTGATTGAACGATTTTATAGAAGATTTATTTTTATTGTTTATTAGAATTAGTACCTTACTCACTGTGCTGTTTTAATATAAATAAAGTCTTAAGAAATTTAGAATATGTATTATAATAGTTCCTATCTGTTTTATAATTTTTTCCTATCTCTTTTTTGTATAATATTTAAATAAAAGTAAAGGAATAGTAGAAGTAAAATATTATTATATTTATTGGTCTTTTTTTTAATAGTTTAATCGTATTGTTTATTATTATTACTGTGAGTAATAATTTATAAATCTGTTTTATTCCCCGTCTATTTTGGTTTATAATTTTCAATAATGAACCACTGTAATCGAACGAAAATTCAAAAACTTAATCCCCTCTCAAAATTTGAGGTTTTACGTTTGAGGACACGTAGAATTCGAAATAAGAATACAATATCTTTAAGCAAAGATATGGTTTCTAGATGTTTTTTATAGGTTATAGTGCAAAGGATATATCCTTTGTTTTGGTTACTGAAGTAATGCTATTTTTTTTTTTTAGCAAATTACTAAAGATGAAAATAAATGTTTAGGGCAATAATTGGAATCACCTTTCTTTCTTTTTCTTTGTCACTAGGAAGATAATGTTAGTTAGATGTATAATTGTTTGGAAATAATCAACCATTGTAAAATAATTTGCAGTTTTTTAGACAAAATAATTTATTTAAATAATAAAACTGATCCAATTTTTATAATTTAATTTTAAGATAACATTGAGCACTGCAATTTGATTACATCATTACCAATACTTATTTCTTATCAGAAGTAACATTAGCTAACAGATTAAAGTGAGGAAAAGGTGAAAAAAATACATCCAGAAATAGGACGAATAAAAGACAATGTCGATGTACTTATCGAGTTCATTGGGAAGGGTGGAAGTGGCATGAAGTAAAGGGTCAATTGACTAAGTTGGGCAATAGAGTATCTTGGGCAGTAATAGATCGTCTCAGTAAAATAGATTATTAAGAATAAACTACAACATTGCAAGCAAGAGAACAAAGATCTTGAGGAGCACGAAACTACCACAAACAGTAAACTGGCAGCAGATCGCTCTTCACCCATAGAGGTGAAAGAAATCCACTCCGATTACTCCAGTTACCCAGAATTCCAGAGAAGGAAGAGAGATCGATTATTATTATAAAAGAATGTTAAGTGAAAAGTGAAACGTAAGCGGGCTCGTGAGAATATTAAACCTTTCGCCTAAAACGTCACCACGAATTAA